GAGGCTAGAAAGGAAGCGCCTTAACCTCGAAGTGCTTCCTTTATGCGCCTCTATTATAACGTCTTTATTGACTTTGGTGTTGCGGGTGCCTAACACTTTGCTATGAGTTTTCTGAGATATTGCGAGCGCCTCGCTTCTCCCTTGAACCCCTGTTGGGTACTATGAACACCTTACATTCCCATAGAGAACTTGCAAGTATCATGGGCGCTTTTAAGTACTTCGGGTGCTTTGGGTATTACGTGCGCTTTAAATACCCCTTGGAGACCTTTCACGTATTTCGGGTGCTTTGCATCTCCCTTGGAGAACTTTCAAGTATTTCGTGTGCTTTAGGTATTATGGGCGCTTTGCATCTCGCTTGGAGACCTTTCAAGTATTTCGGGTGCTTTGCATCTCCCTTGGAGACCTTTCAAGTATTTCGGGCGTTTTAGGTATTATGGGCTCTTTGCATCTCACTTGGAGACCTATTGAGTATTTCGGGTGCTTTGCATCTCCCTTGGAGACCTTTCAAGTATTTCAGGCGCTTTAGGTATTATGGGCTCTTTGCATCTCACTTGGAGACCTTTCAAGTATTTCGGGTGCTTTGCATCTCCCTTAGAGACCTTTCAAGTATTTCGGGAGCTTTAGGTATTATGGGCGCTTTGCAGCTCACTTGGAGACCTTTCAAGTATTTTGGGTGCTTTGCATCTCCCTTGGAGACCTTTCAAGTAATTCGGGCGCTTTAGGTATTATGAGCGCTTTTACATCTCTCTTGGAGACCTTTCAAGTATTTCGGGCGCTTTAGGTATTATGGGCGCTTTGCATCTCACTTGGAGACCTTTCAAGTATTTCGGGCGCTTTGCATCTACCTTGGAGACCTTTCAAGTATTTCGGGCGCTTTAGATATTATGGGCGCTTTGCATCTCACTTGGAGACCTTTCAAGTATTTCGGGTGCTTTGCATCTCCCTTGGAGACCTTACAAGTATTTCGGGCGCTTTAGGTATTATGGGCGCTTTTACATCTCTCTTGGAGACCTTTCAAGTATTTCGGGCGCTTTAGGTATTATGGGTGCCTTGCATCTCGCTTGGAGACCTTTCAAGTATTTCGGGTGCTTTGCATCTCCCTTGGAGACCTTTCAAGTATTTCGGGCGCTTTAGGTATTATGGGCGCTTTTACATCTCTCTTGGAGACCTTTCAAGTATTTCGGGCACTTTAGGTATTATGGGCGCCTTGCATCTCGCTTGGAGACCTTTCAAGTATTTCGGGTGCTTTGCATCTCCCTTGGAGACCTTTCAAGTATTTCGGGCGCTTTGCATCTCACTTGGAGACCTATCAAGTATTTCGGGTGCTTTGCATCTCCCTTGGAGACCTTTCAAGTATTTCGGGTGCTTAGGTATTATGGGCGCTTTTACATCTCTCTTGGAGACCTTTCAAGTATTTCGGGCGCTTTAGGTATTATGGGCGCCTTGCATCTCGCTTGGAGACCTTTCAAGTATTTCGGGCGCTTTACATCTCCCTCTGAGATATTTCGAATATTACGGGCGCTAGATTTGGGCGCGGAGAGTATTTCCAACCATATGTGCAATTTTCAAGCGCGAAGAGCATTCACACATGGGCGCCATAATTGGGGACGAAAAGTATTTCGATGAAAGCAATATTATGCAAAAATAAATTAAATATCACAAAGAAAAGGAGTACTTAGCTTGGTTTTAGTGTGTAGAAGCCTAACCTGAACCCGACACTTGCTAGGCACATGATATTGATATGCTCAGAGTTGTAGCATGATAGTGTAGGCGCTTGACTTCTATCGGCAAAGAGTCAATTCCAATCTCTTTGCTGGCAATTTTTTGAATGTGATATACTGGACGCATAGATGGTATACAGAAAACATTCTTTAATAAGCGTAAACTTGCTAGCTAGCCTGTTGGTCTAGGCTTTGAACTTGTGTTGGTGAGGCACCTGGTTCAATCCTCCCCTTTGCAATTTTTAATATTTGAAGTGCCATTGTGCTTCTTGGGCTTGAGGTCGATTGAATGATGAGCGTGTACTGGGCTTCTTGGGCTTGAGGCGCCTGGTTCAATCAGAGCGCATGTTGGGCCTTCTAACGTTTGATCGCTCACGCCACTTTAAAGTTTGCTTGAACCAAGCGCTTGGGCCCATTTCAACTGCATACAGTCCGGACCTCCCAAAATTATGGGCGCCTACTATCTTTTTCCCAATCCTTATGGCTGCCTTCTTCTTTCTTTGTGAAGGTTGCGCCTCCACCATGTGACGCCAAATCCCACCCTCTTCTACCCATTTTGAGGCGCCTGGATCCTTCTTCACCACGATCTGTCTCCGCCCATCAACGCATATTTCCCTATTTCCTTGACATACTCATTCTCCTAATTTCTTGCAAACTCAGGCGCTGACCCCTTTTCTGGCGCGCCAATTGTTTCTGCCAAGAAACAAGAGGGACGCCGGGTCTGTGAAAGGGCGGGGATGGCCCCCATTATCTACACTCCGACGATCAACATTAGTACAATGATAAAGAAATAAGGAGATCTTAGGTAGAGAGAGATTGTAGAGAGATAAGTGATATGTCAAAATGAGTAGAGGAGAAGAAGAGGTCTCCTACTTGAAAGACATAGGAGCATATTTATAGGTAAAACCTTGTGATATTTTATTGGGCTTCAGTTGGGCCTTGTAGTGCTTTGTGGGCTTGGGTCCATATGTGTCTTGCAGACCATATCTACTCTAATTATAATACGCTGAAGGGGAAAACTGAATCCCCATTTCAAAAATCCTGCCTCCAGAGCGTTTTACGGAGGGGTACTTTTGGAAACAGAAAATTGCAATGGGCTCTGTCACCAACGAGGCTCAAGAGTCGAGAGAGGCTGCTCGAGGTCGATGGAGGCATTTCGTAGCAAGGACGCGACGAGGGCGTCGCGAGCATAGGTGGGGGAGGATGTCACATGTGGCCGATGACATGGCGCCAACAAGGTGACAACAAGGCGGCTGCACATGTGGCATGTATGGAAGACTAGTAGCATAGAGATGCTCCTAGGATTCTCCACCTAAATGAGAGCTTAATGGTGCACTTATGGGCTACATTATGGGTAGCATTATTAGGGTGCATTATGGGGGGACTTTATGGGGTGTATTGATGTAGTAGAGGGACATTATGAGGGGCATTGATGCCTTGTATGAGGAGAGGCCTATATAAGGAGCCATCTCCCTCACTTGTAACTCATCCATCATTTTTGTGAGCAATACAACTATAGAGTTTCTCCCATCTTCTTGTGTCTTGTTCTTGTGAGTTGAGTGAGTTTGAGAGCTTGTGAGAAGGCTGCCTAGCTTCTCTAACGGAATTGAGAGTTAGGGCCGCACGACCAAGAGTAAGGCCGTGACAGTTGGTATCAGAGCCTGGTTCTGAAAGAAGAACCGGTGTCCTCACTCCCCAAGAAGGAAGATAAGAAAGAGCGAGAACCTCACCAAAGATGGCTGGATCAGAAGTCCATGACGATGCGGAGAAGCCACGGGGAAGAGATCCCACTCCGGGCGGAAGGTCAAAAGGTACGTCGAGCACTCGTGATCCTCTCAAGTCTCTAGAGAGGCGAGTCTCGAGGATGGAGGTGAAGCTTTCCGAAGATGTCACCGTCATGGAGGATTTGGGAGCTAACTTCACCCAAATCCAAGGCGATGTTCAAAGTGTGGCGGCTAGAGTGACGAGTTTGGAGGTTGGCAATGAAGGGCTTCGAGATGAGCTCATGGCCCTCATCAAAAACACCATCTCCACCGCCATGAACGATGCCATTGAGCTAGTGAAGGAGGCGGCTGCTGCGGAGGCAATGGCGATTGCCGAGTCCCTAGTCAAGTACCACGAGCCGGAGGAACGTGTGGAGTTCGGAGGCAATGGAGGTGGACGCGACTATGACAGAGACACACGAAGGCGTGGTAGACTGGACCAAGGAGGTAGTCATAAGGTTGAGAAACCACTTACTTGCTTCCTTTGTGATGGTCCGCATCGTGTGAGAGATTGCCCAAGAAAGCACAAGTTGTCGGCAATGAAGGCCGTACTAGCAGAGTGCTCGAGCTCGGAAGAGGAAGCGGAGGCAACTCCAAGAGTGGAGCCCCATGTCGCGAAGATTGGCTGCATGAAGAGATTGAGCGCCATCAAGCGGACGGAAGAGCCTCCCCATCCTGAGCAACACGGTCAATGCTTTGTAGAGGCAAAGCTCAACCAAAGGAAGACAAAAGCCTTGGTTGATACCGGGGCAAGTTGCAACCTTCTCGACGTAGATGAAGCGCGGAGGCTGGGCATCACGTATGAGAAGAAGCAAAGAGGGTGGATGAAGGCTACCAACTCGAGGGCCACAAGAACTCATGGAGTAGCGCGCCAGGTGCCACTCAAGCTAGGAGGATGGACCGGGGTGGCGGACTTTGAGGTGGTGTCGTTGGATGATTATCAGGTCATCATCGGCATGGAGTTCATGGTGCGGGAAAAAGCTTTCCCGATCCCATACGCCAATAGATTCTGCATCAATGGCGGAGCAAGATCGGTTCCCATGACGAGAGAGCAACTCGAGTCAAACAAGAGGTGTTTGGCAAGGCAAGAGCAGCGAGAAGTGGCAACGATGGTGGAGGCAGCGGCTCACTCGAAGACTCGTTGGAGAAGGACGAGAAAGAGGAGTGCACAACATCGTGGAGCCATGAGAGACGAGGATGGATCATCTTCGACTTGCCAAGAGAAGCAAGGAAAGGCCTCCATGATCGAGAAGGCGGGACACTCGAAGACGCGACGGAGAAGACCGCGGAGGAGTGCGCAACATCATGGGAGCACAAGGCTCGAGAGCGAGCCAGGGCCATCCTTGGTTTGGAGGAAGGTGCAACGAGACCTTGCAAGCAATGAAGCTAAGGCAAGGGAGGCATCTGCCAAAGAGCCACGACGAGGGCGTCGTGGATTGAGTGGAGGAGAATGTCACCAACGAGGCTCAAGAGTCGAGAGAGGCTGCTCGAGGTCGATGGAGGCATTTCGTAGCAAGGACGCGACGAGGGCGTCGCGAGCATAGGTGGGGGAGGATGTCACATGTGGCCGATGACATGGCGCCAACAAGGTGACAACAAGGCGGCTGCACATGTGGCATGTATGGAAGACTAGTAGCATAGAGATGCTCCTAGGATTCTCCACCTAAATGAGAGCTTAATGGTGCACTTATGGGCTACATTATGGGTAGCATTATTAGGGTGCATTATGGGGGGACTTTATGGGGTGTATTGATGTAGTAGAGGGACATTATGAGGGGCATTGATGCCTTGTATGAGGAGAGGCCTATATAAGGAGCCATCTCCCTCACTTGTAACTCATCCATCATTTTTGTGAGCAATACAACTATAGAGTTTCTCCCATCTTCTTGTGTCTTGTTCTTGTGAGTTGAGTGAGTTTGAGAGCTTGTGAGAAGGCTGCCTAGCTTCTCTAACGGAATTGAGAGTTAGGGCCGCACGACCAAGAGTAAGGCCGTGACAGTTGGTATCAGAGCCTGGTTCTGAAAGAAGAACCGGTGTCCTCACTCCCCAAGAAGGAAGATAAGAAAGAGCGAGAACCTCACCAAAGATGGCTGGATCAGAAGTCCATGACGATGCGGAGAAGCCACGGGGAAGAGATCCCACTCCGGGCGGAAGGTCAAAAGGTACGTCGAGCACTCGTGATCCTCTCAAGTCTCTAGAGAGGCGAGTCTCGAGGATGGAGGTGAAGCTTTCCGAAGATGTCACCGTCATGGAGGATTTGGGAGCTAACTTCACCCAAATCCAAGGCGATGTTCAAAGTGTGGCGGCTAGAGTGACGAGTTTGGAGGTTGGCAATGAAGGGCTTCGAGATGAGCTCATGGCCCTCATCAAAAACACCATCTCCACCGCCATGAACGATGCCATTGAGCTAGTGAAGGAGGCGGCTGCTGCGGAGGCAATGGCGATTGCCGAGTCCCTAGTCAAGTACCACGAGCCGGAGGAACGTGTGGAGTTCGGAGGCAATGGAGGTGGACGCGACTATGACAGAGACACACGAAGGCGTGGTAGACTGGACCAAGGAGGTAGTCATAAGGTTGAGAAACCACTTACTTGCTTCCTTTGTGATGGTCCGCATCGTGTGAGAGATTGCCCAAGAAAGCACAAGTTGTCGGCAATGAAGGCCGTACTAGCAGAGTGCTCGAGCTCGGAAGAGGAAGCGGAGGCAACTCCAAGAGTGGAGCCCCATGTCGCGAAGATTGGCTGCATGAAGAGATTGAGCGCCATCAAGCGGACGGAAGAGCCTCCCCATCCTGAGCAACACGGTCAATGCTTTGTAGAGGCAAAGCTCAACCAAAGGAAGACAAAAGCCTTGGTTGATACCGGGGCAAGTTGCAACCTTCTCGACGTAGATGAAGCGCGGAGGCTGGGCATCACGTATGAGAAGAAGCAAAGAGGGTGGATGAAGGCTACCAACTCGAGGGCCACAAGAACTCATGGAGTAGCGCGCCAGGTGCCACTCAAGCTAGGAGGATGGACCGGGGTGGCGGACTTTGAGGTGGTGTCGTTGGATGATTATCAGGTCATCATCGGCATGGAGTTCATGGTGCGGGAAAAAGCTTTCCCGATCCCATACGCCAATAGATTCTGCATCAATGGCGGAGCAAGATCGGTTCCCATGACGAGAGAGCAACTCGAGTCAAACAAGAGGTGTTTGGCAAGGCAAGAGCAGCGAGAAGTGGCAACGATGGTGGAGGCAGCGGCTCACTCGAAGACTCGTTGGAGAAGGACGAGAAAGAGGAGTGCACAACATCGTGGAGCCATGAGAGACGAGGATGGATCATCTTCGACTTGCCAAGAGAAGCAAGGAAAGGCCTCCATGATCGAGAAGGCGGGACACTCGAAGACGCGACGGAGAAGACCGCGGAGGAGTGCGCAACATCATGGGAGCACAAGGCTCGAGAGCGAGCCAGGGCCATCCTTGGTTTGGAGGAAGGTGCAACGAGACCTTGCAAGCAATGAAGCTAAGGCAAGGGAGGCATCTGCCAAAGAGCCACGACGAGGGCGTCGTGGATTGAGTGGAGGAGAATGTCACCAACGAGGCTCAAGAGTCGAGAGAGGCTGCTCGAGGTCGATGGAGGCATTTCGTAGCAAGGACGCGACGAGGGCGTCGCGAGCATAGGTGGGGGAGGATGTCACATGTGGCCGATGACATGGCGCCAACAAGGTGACAACAAGGCGGCTGCACATGTGGCATGTATGGAAGACTAGTAGCATAGAGATGCTCCTAGGATTCTCCACCTAAATGAGAGCTTAATGGTGCACTTATGGGCTACATTATGGGTAGCATTATTAGGGTGCATTATGGGGGGACTTTATGGGGTGTATTGATGTAGTAGAGGGACATTATGAGGGGCATTGATGCCTTGTATGAGGAGAGGCCTATATAAGGAGCCATCTCCCTCACTTGTAACTCATCCATCATTTTTGTGAGCAATACAACTATAGAGTTTCTCCCATCTTCTTGTGTCTTGTTCTTGTGAGTTGAGTGAGTTTGAGAGCTTGTGAGAAGGCTGCCTAGCTTCTCTAACGGAATTGAGAGTTAGGGCCGCACGACCAAGAGTAAGGCCGTGACAGCTCCTTTGGAGACGTTGAATGGGCCCACTGATTGTCTAAGCCCAGGAAAAGAAAAGTCGTTCCAGAGATGTGAAGAAACCCCAAGTTCTTTTACCGTCATCATCCACTCGCCCCTACACTGTGTGCGATTCTGCTATTTCCTCTCCTCCATTGTTAAGGCTGCCGTCGTCGACTCCATACACGGCGGCGTCGGCAAATCCAACCTACTCTCTCGCTTCACTCGCAGCTGAGTTCTACTTGGGGTCCAAGTCCACCATTGGCGTCGAATTCCTCACTCGCACTCTCCAAGTAACTTCCTTTTCCCACCCATCTCTCTATTTCTCCGCTCCTCTCTGCAAAAAAAAAAAAACCCTTTCTTGCTCTGCAATTTCGGTTTGCCGCTTGATCGATCCCTTGCTTTATTTCCCAATTCCGACGTACCTATTTTGATCTGGGTCACTGCAGTAAAGAATTTCGAGTTTAGTTGTCCTCTGTTCTGGTCTGGAGACGTGTTTGTTTTAGTTCGGTGTTTGACTAGGAGTTGAATTTTGTTGACCGAAGAGGATCTATTCGGTTTTGAGTTTGAATTTTGAATTACACCCACCAGTTGGAATCCACTGATCATGCCCTGGATATGATTCCTTTTGTTGAATCAATATTAGATGACTAAGTGTAGTGGTTTACTTGGTAGCCAGTGATCCACCGCCCACTGAAGTGTTCAATTGGCAAAATGTGTTTAAAAGGAACTCATCCTTACAATTCCTCTTGAGTTGCTGGGTAAAGAGGTTATATATTGGTCTTACACTATATAATCTGCTGCCAAAGTTTGGAACTTGATGTTGGAACTGGGGTTTTATCTAGCGAAGAACTTGTATTACATACCTGATGAAATGTTCTTAACTGTGGTTTGTTATGTGGGAACTGTTTGGTATCATGTGTTGAAGAATGGTGGGGTATATGCTGAAAGCATGACACCTTGCTAATGTGAGATCATGCTAAGAAAACGCCTGATCTAAAGAGCGAGATATGCTTAAAATACTTGGAGTATGTAGGTTAGAGTTGAATGCGTATTGTTTGAGATTCTTTGTAAATGTTCTGTTTCTTAGCGTAGTTGTGCTTATTTGTCTCCGAACTTTATCATCTTCCATATGTTTCTTCCGATTTCAGTGTTGAGAAGTAAATCTTTGTGAGGAACCAAAAGGTGTTCGATTCTGATGTTTGTTCGGTGTCGAGAAGACAATCTTTCCCGAGGGAGATAGCATCAGGTTCGTTTTGATTTGCCCATGGTTGTGGCAAAAAAAAGCAATTGATGCACAATTTGGGTTGGTTTTCCATTTCCAATTTGATTTGTGTTGAAATTGTCTGCTCATAGGTTAGTTCTATTGCCTGGATGTGGGTCTCCATGACAATGATTGATTCTCAAGTTGAGGGGTTTTTAACTTCCAATTTGAGTTTGCTAGGAAGTTCATACGCAGGTTGGGTTTTGAATCTGAATTGGGTCGTGCATTTTGTGTCAACATTGAACTGGATCACAGTGCTCGCGTATTCAATTGTGAAAGGAATCGCCAAGCTTGCTGCTTCCTTACTTCGCAGGCAGTTGGTAGTTGGAATCTCCAGGCCTCTTCTGGTGTCGTATTGTATTGGTTTTATTATATGCTTGATGCATTTTGAGTGCTCTTTTCTTGTGGTCACGCTCCTCTGAACACACTCTTTTATTTGTTGTTATTATCAGAGCTATATTTCAATTTTTTACTTCACATAGCAGCAAGGTTCATTGCAAGCTTTACTATTCGTAGCTCAGCTCTCCTACTCTGACACAAACAACTTCTTTGAATCCAATAAGCTAGGGGAGTGTGGCTTTGCCCTGTCTATAAGGTTTATTTCTCTCTTCGCATATACATCTCAGTTTGTTTGTTCTTTCTATAACCTACCGATGAAAATGAATGCATAATGAAATCTACCATTTATACCTATTTGTGATAAATTATTTTCAGGGAGGAAACTCAGAACCAGAGTCAATGAGCAACTAATGGAACTGAATGCATAATGAAACCTCCTATTGACACTTCTTTGTGATCACAAACTTCATCCAAACCGACACAGTGATTTAACAATGCAATTGACAAGGAAATTTTTTAGCAGCGTACTCCCAACATCTTTTCATTCCTATATCGCATCTAGATTAACTAATATTGCACTGAATATCACCATCCAAACCTCATAGAACCTTTATTTGATCACCCGAATACAATCGTTCAATGTCTGGCTTTATCTTAAAGGGATTTGCTACAGATAAAGAAATTGGAGAGCAACGTGGGTACCTCCTCGGATGCTCTATTCCAGGTTAATCTATTTTGTCATCTTTTGTTGCTATATAGATATATGAGAATTAAGTTGAACAGTTGTATGGCTGCATTTGCATTATGTTTGAACCTAACTGAGTGTAGGAGTTAGATTCGAGTAAGGGTTGGGGTCAAGAAGAAGTGCAAGTAACGGGTTTGATCAAGAAGTCACAGACTAGAGAGTTGTGAGAGAACCAGAGAAGGGATATTAGAGAGATAAGTTGTTATTGTAGAGAGAGAGTGGTGAAAAATGCGATCCCCTCACCCACCGGAGTAAATGCCATATTTATAGGCTACATGGTGGTGGGTGAGTGGTTGGATTACATGATGGGACCTAGGCTCTGATGTGACCACTGACACGTTGGGGATTTCGGCCATCCCCCTACCTAGGACATGTCAGGGGTGTACCTACGACTGTGTCACTGATCCCTATGCGGCCGACCCTCGGGAAGTGTGAAGTGAGCTCCTTATGGCTTCGAGGCTTACGACGCGCCTGAGCCTCCGCGCCTTGATACTTCACTCTCGCGCAGCTCGTGAGGGGCTCTGGATCCTCGCGCGTTGGTTCTCTCCACTCGCGCACGCATAGTGGCGCGCCCTTAGGCCTTCATGCGCGCCTTGGACCCTCGTGCGCGCCTTCTGTCGGCGCGTCCTGCCTTGCACAGCTAGGTCCGAGTCACATGCCCAACAATTGCCCCCCATCAGAGGGTGTTCTGAGAGCGCCCTCTGTTTAGGTCTTCGCTTGATTGACTCGGGCCTGGGCGCTGTTCCCGGGATTCTTCGCGTGCGCCTTGCCATTCCGTAGCCGCGCGAGATGCTCTGTCGTGGTTGCCTGATAGCGCGCGATCTCTGGGGGATCGTGCGCTCGGTCCTTGTGAGGTTCGAATCGTCGACGGCGCGGTAATTGATCGAGCGTGATTATCGCAGTTGCGATTGTTCCTCGCGTGTTCCGTGGCTTGCGCGAGAGGCTCTGTTGTAGTTGCCTGATGGAGCGCGGATCTTGGGGTCCGAGATTCTGAATAGTGTGTGCGATCTTTCCGAGATTTTTCAAGGTCCGAGATTCTGAATAGTGTGTGCGATCTTTCCGAGATTTTTCCCCTTTCTTCGCGATCTTCGCGAGACATTTTTTCTTTTCCCCGCGGGTGTGCCATGCCCCCCAGGCGTTGTGCGTAACTAGTTACGTCAGCGGCTAGTACCCACTTGGGATAGGTGTCCACGTGTCCTTACCTGGTTGGTTCGTTTGGGCGGGCGAATTTTGAAATTCGAAACGTCTGACTGTTGGGATTTTCGAGGTTACTTTAACCCTTCGCCTTCCCTCTAATAACTATAAGTATCGGGCCGTTTGGGGAGTGGGATTCATTCTGCCTCATTCTTCACATCTGAGCTCAGCTCCTCCTCTCTCGTGCTCTGGTTTATCGCCGAGATTCCTCTCCTTCTTTTACAATCTTAAACCCCCAATTGTGTCTTGCCTATTGTCTTTTTTCTGCTGTCATGGACAACATCAACACCAACGTCGGCGAGGTTGAGATCGTACAAGACGAAGAAGGTAATATTTCCCCACTTTCCCGTATTTCTTCTGACCCGTCGCTGGAATTGGCGAATTCCGGCGGCGAGGATGGCGGTGGTTCCGGTGACGGCGGAGTTCCGTCGACGCCGTCAACCAGAGTCGACTCCGATCCTGATTTCGACCTCAGAGAGACGGAGGCCGATGAAGATGCAGTGGTGTCCGGGGGCGAGGGGCCTAGTACGCGGCCCCAAGGCGTTCTAATAATCAGGCGCGGTCACGGTGGGATGTCTGCAATCGCGGAGGGTGCTGGTACTGCTAGCGCGGCCGAGCGCGAGGGTTCTGATACGGAGTCGGCGCCGATAATCGCCGAGCCCGTCAACGTGGTGCGCGTAACTGAGGCGATGAGTCGCCTTGGTCCTCGTTGCATGGGCGCTGTCTACACCGTCCTTGATTGGGCGGAAATGTGGGGCGACCAGCCGGCTCCACATGACAACTTGTTGCGGGGACCCGACCATTCTTCAATCTACTCGCGCGAGGACGTTGAAGAAATCGTGCGCGGGTTGGGTTTGCCTCCGCACTGGGAGTACGCGGTGCCGTCTGTTAGGAGCACAGTTGGTAACTGCCCCCCAGGGTGGTTCGGGGTATACAGCGAGTATTGGGTGATGGGTTTCAAATTCCCCATCGACCCGCTGCTGTGTGCCCTATACAGGCGGCTCAACTGCTCGGTCGGGCGCCTCTCTCCGTCGATCATAATGCACGTCTCGTGCTTGCGCCTTGCTTGTAAGCGGCTTAACATCCAGCCCACGTACGGGCTGTTCCGCAAGTTTTACAAGATCAAGGAGCCCAGCAAGACGAGTGATTGCTTGTCCATCAAGCGGCGCGATAACAGGCCTGATGGATTCGTCTACGGCTCCCCCAAGCTAAAGAAGACGTGGTTTGAGCGCTTCTTCTATGTTAAGCCAGTGGCGGGGGAGTGGGCTA